CTAAAGCACAGAAAATTGGTGTTTAAAGGCAACAATCTGAACAAATTGAATGCTTGCTGAATATACACATGATGATAGATGACAAGCTGAAAACCCTGATCTACACAGACAGTAGGTTATGAACAACACAAAAGTAGTTTTTATTGATACTTGAGAAAGATTCTGGTTTAGGCGAGACTGGCAGGAAGAGTAGTAAATACTGGGATTTTGTTTTTCCAACCTTATGGCCCAGATGCCAGTTCTTAAGCCTAATGAACTTTTGCAGCGTGGCTACTTTTTGGCTTTGTGATATCTCTTATATTTAATCTACATGAATACCATGAAACATTTCTCTGACTATAGGTTCTCATTGGACCACTGTCTATGACACTCTAGTGGGTAAAAAGTGAGGCTAGGAGAAGAAATCAACTTTTTGCTTTAAAAGCATCATTCTAAAAATTCTTCATATTTATATATACATATATATATAGATGCTAGAGCACTCATTCTGCTTTATCAGCTTGCAGATTTCACTCTGCTGCAAGCAAATCTGCCCTGCATCTCACTCAAACTTCACTTTGGTGTCACCAAATAGTATTTATATTAAAAAATTAACCTTCAATTCAATGCAACATGAATTATATTTGTCCAAGTTCATCCATCTGCAGAGCAGATCAAGGATGCATTTATTTCCAATTAGCACTTCCTTCCTTCCTGAATTGGACATATTATTTCCATATGGACACTAAAAGCATGCCTCCAGGTGCTGGAATCAATTCCCAAAGGTGGACAGAAGCAATACTCTCATGTACTAAATCATATTCCAAACAAGATACCAGAGGGGGTGTGGATGAGTTTAAGAGTCTGGGGAACTGAAGATGTATTTCATTACCTAATTATTCTGGCAGTTTTTAGAGGATGTGTGCAAATACTTCCAGGAACAGCAACCTCTCAGCAATGCATTACTAGCAGCTTTTCTCTACTCTACATGAACTACAATAAAACAGTGGTAGTCACGCTACCAGGATTTGCTTGGCTCTTCCTCAATCTGTATCAAGTAAACATGAATTGTAGAAAATGTTGCTTGTTTTCATTATGTACAGGCACTATTTTGTTCTCAGGTATCTTAAAAATATTAGGACAAAATTTCAGTTAAAGTCTGATTAGGACAGAGACTCTCAATATTTATATAACACTGCATATCAATATATACATTTGCAAACCCAGAATCCTTGAATATATTTATGACTTTTGGCATTGTTTCTTTCAAAACCCTAATTTTTTTTAAACTTATTTCCAATTTTATCACTTAAAAGCAATTTTGGAAAATTTTACCATAAAGCATTAAGGTACCTTAGTAAAATGACAGATAGACAGTACCAGGTCAAAGATCAAATCTCCCTAATGTTTGTTAAGAGTTTTAAAAGATTCCGGTTTTGTACAAATAGAAATAATAAGGAAATTGTTGAGTTGGCTTCAGCAAAAAGTGTAAGAACCAAGAAGAAAACCTTTGAAATACAAATCAATACATAGTTTATAAAGATGATGCATCCATGGATTTAAGAGATGTCAGCTGACACTCCATAAAGATTATCTGGCAAATCAATTTTCTCTTGCAAAATTGCAAACTTCAAGGTAAGCAACTGCATCTCTGGAAGAATGCTACCTCTGCTATTAAACCTAATGAATGCTACCACCAACCCCAGCACCCTTCAGCACCTTCAAAGGAAATCATAGCCACTTCCAGAGGTAGCATCCATTAAGGTGGCACCATCCACAGACTTTAATATAATATAAACACAATATAAATTGTGTTTATATTATATTAAAGTCAATATAATATACACACAATGTTTGAATAAAGGCAGCTGTGGAAACACTCACTACCAACGATGCAAAGCTATGGAATCTCAGTAGAATAATGGTATTTTTCCATCCTCAGTGGATCAGGTCCACAGGAAAGGCTACACTGCAGTATTCCTAGTACTAGGGATCAGCAGCAGAGCAAACACAATTCAGCTGCTGCTTTTACTGGAGAACAATTTCATCCAGTTTTGTTTATTCAGGCTTTCTGAAAAACAATGTTGAACACTGCAGCATACACCTATTTCAAAAGTTATGCCTATACCCATAACGGAAAATACTGGAGACAGCATCCAACTTCCCCTGAACAATGTTTTTTTCTTATTTTAACTAAACAGATTATGGATTTCCTATTCCAATAATCTCTGACAAAATATACATGAAGTATATCCTCCTCCCCTGTGTCTTTAAGAGAAGCCCCACAGAGCTTGAAATCAGACAAGCAGAAGTGTACCTGCACATACACATGTGCACATATCTCTGCATAGAAATAACATGTGGGTATCAACTCAGCTTCTGAAAAATGTGCATCATATGTATTATTATAATGTTAAACTGTTTCTTCTTAAGCAGCCTTTCAAAATTAGTCATTTCTGCTCCCAATTGGTCATGGTGCACCTGTGCTGAAAGCCACCATATTGTAGTAAGGCTGGCAAAATGAATGTGTGCCAGGTTCTTGCCCATTGCAGTCTGCTCCTTGATGGATCCAATTAAGCCAGTATGTACAGTGACCTGAAGCTAACATGACACAGTCACCTGGGCCAGCTCTGCTACAGCAGTGCTCAGACAAGGTACAGGAAGGAAAGGCTAACTCAGACTCGAGTGCCACAAACAGCACCAGCCCTTTGGCACTACACTTGATTGCAATTCCCCAAGGAGAACGATAAAAACCACCACAGTTGAATTTCACAATACCTTAAGACCACATTGTCTTGCATTACTATGACCATTCCCTTCTGAACTCTAAATTATTAAACACTAAATGTACTAAATACACTTACTAAGTACCTGCTCCTGGAATGACTGTTCACAGTAAAGCTAAAGAGCATCAACTTCTTGCCTCCAAGCAAGCAGAAAAGATGGCTCTCCTTAAAAAACCACACTGCACAGAGTGGTGGGGCTTTTTTTATTGGTTGGGTGGTTGTTGCTGTGGGATCTTGGAGCAGGGAGTTGAATTGGTTTTTTTGAAAGCTACAATACATGTACTAAAATCTTATCCCACCGAACTGCTGGTTGTTTTTGCAGATGAGGCAATACAACCATGAACTGGCAGTTTTCAAAGACCATATGTCAAAATGACCAGTTTGATTATTTTCAAGACTGATCTATACTAAACCATTCCTACAAAGGCTGAGTCTGCTCAGAAAATAATATAGATTGCTAAATACTCAATGACAAGTTCTTCTATTTCTGCTGGTAATTAGACACTTGCTAAACACCAAACTCAAATAATCAAAGTATGCTCTTTCATAAGGTGGTATTTTGTGGTTTTGGGGATTTTTGTGGTTTTTTTCCTAAACATGGTGAAAATCAGTGATTACTTCCTATTCCAAGAAGGTGTTATTGGAAGTTTTGTTCTTTATTTTTCTTTTCTTTTTGGTTGTATATGTTACTGCACCATTACTGAACCATATAGTTGGTTCCTCAATCAAGTACAGCAGACAGCACGAGCTCCTGAAGCTACATTTACTGACTACATTTACTACATGTACTATGGATGGTTCTTCATGGCAAGTCTGAGCTGAATTTGGAACAGAAAGCATCAAAATGAAGCCTCATTTCAAAGGAGGACAAACTAAACAACATTCCATCAGATGTGAATCCTCTGTATAAAGGGATTCCACGATGGAAAAGGACAATTTCAAAACAGCAATGTGTCTTCCCAGGTGATTTTACTCATTTGCATTACTGAAGTTAACGGAGTCTCAATCATGGTTTTAATTTTCACAGCAAAGACCCTTCTTTGATCAAAGGCAACTGGTTGAAGGGGAACAAGAAAACTTAAAACCAAACAAAATAATGCATTTTAATGACTCTAAAATGACCGAGTTGAGTACCACAGGAGTATGAAAGATTGTCTCAGAAAATGGGATAGCAAATGTGGACAATAAACATGTCTTGACCAGTGAGCAAAGAGGTGCTTTCAATGCTGTCTACAAGAAGCTACAACAAGAACACAACAATTCAGTGCAAAACTGTGAACTAAAAAAAAGTAATACAATAAAGAAGTTGCCTAAATATCACGGTGGTCTCATTCCACCTGGTTAGAAAGTTGCAGGAGTATTTTAGTAAAGCCTGAGGTTTCCCCACATCCTCCACCCTAGCCACCAACAATTATAAAAATGTGTTTCACTTAAGCTTTTTCATAAGCCACAAAACCAAGGAGATGAAACAGATACTTGATTCAACCAACACATTCTTCTTATTCACTTAATGATCTGTAGATCTTTCAGAATTTAAAATATTAAATGGTATGTTTCCATGTTTTGATAAACCTGAGTCATCCTACTAAATTAAGCTCAAATCTGTCCCTCAAACACATACCTGCAAGTGTGCACAAACAGCATACTTAACTCCTTTCATTTAAAACATACAATTTTATAAAGTAAAATTGCAGCAGTTTATTTTGAAAATCTGAGGAGCAGAGTATTTGTGTCTTGTTAGGCAGCCTATTTATTGCAAACCTACAGCAGGACTTTCTTCTTTACTCAGTACCAGAGTGCTTTCCAATCACCTTCCAAGGCAATGTATTTTTCAAAACAATGTAAAAATACATACAATATCATAGAAAGAACCTTCCAAATCTGTCAGCACTCCTAGAACTCACGTAAAACAAACATCTGCAAGCTGTTTGTGCACATATCTTAGATATCCTTATCCCTGGATAAGATCCCTTTGTTTCAAGCACTGAATTACTGTCAACAATAAATACAAGGCATGCCTATATTTCGTACAACTCATTATCAATCAAACTCTGAAATCAATTTGAGTTACTGGAAATTGAATGGTGGTTCTTTGGTTAAGCAAGTGCATCTGCTACTTTGTACTAGGGCCTCACTGGATTTGCGGAAAAGCTGTGCAAGTATGAAATATTTACCAAAACCCCACTTTTCATTTACAAAAAGGATCCATTTGTAAAGATCCATTGTGTCAAAATGCTTTGACAATCAATACAAAAGGCCTTAAATGTCACCAAAGCTGCATTTTAAGTAAAATTACATATTCAAGATCTTTGCTTATTAATAAGATGCACCTTAATATATTAAGATATATCCTATAACTCAGCAAGATATGTGGCCAGCTGCTTTACAGGGTTAAAAAGCCCCAAATAAGCTAAACCAAAATCTATGTTCTCTCCCATTTCTTTCTGGTACTAAAATTTGTTTAAAAAGTGAATGGAACTAGCCACAGCATTTGAAAACCAACATTAAACAATCCCCATGAAACTTCTTCCAATTACTGGAAGGACATGTGACCATCCTACATTACTACTGTCTGAAAACACTTAAGGCCTTTGATTAAATTTAGTGGACAAGATGACTCCACTGGGAGGGTGGATAAACAGCAAAATATTATCAGATTTTGCTGAAAATGGGGGCAAGACTTAAACTATTTAAACAAGTCTTCCTATGTCAGTAAGAGGAAAACTCACATTTAACAGTTTGCATTTCTATAAATATCAGGAAGATTTTTAAAATACCAGTCTCCAACAACATTAAATTTCAGTGCGTGTAAGTGAATAATATTTAAGTGTTATTATGAGTTACAGATGATGGTTGAAGCTTATAAAGAAACACCTTGAGGAGAAGCAAATTATTACATTATACTTTCATTTCACAATGAGTGGTTTGCCCTTCTTTTGCCACCAGATTGCCTAAAAATAAATATTTTGGAATTACAGCTTTCTTTAAAGCTACTACAGTTTAATAAGACAAATAATCCAATAAATAAAAGCCAAGTTAGTAATTTCAGCAGATAAGATAACGACTCCAGTGGATGTACCTGTCCTCTTAACTATTCTTTTGCTAAGACAGAAGGTCTTCAAAGTCTTCAACAAGGCAGCTGACTGTGTGTTGGTATGCAAAGCCATGGGAAGTAGACATTCTCTCTGAAGAGGCAAAGTGCACAATAATGTAAGGCCAGTGCTTTCTCCTAAAACGCAGCCTATGCTTCCCTGTGAGCTGCCCCCAGGCACAGCTGGGAAGGACAGAAGGCCATCCATGGCTGTTGTGAACCCAAGACAGAAGACAGCGATTCCCTCATGTTGCAGGGGTACAGCCCAGCACCTCCCTCACTCTGCAGACATCTTCACCTCCTCAGGGCTCTCTCTAGGTGACCTGGGAGATGGAGGGAGGAAAAGAAGTGAAAAGTAAGACACAAATCTGCCCAGTGATTCCAAATAATTGTTTCTGATAAAATAAAGGAGAACCAAACACACATGAAGATTTTTTGTGTGTACTTGGAAGCTCTATCTGTTTAACACAGGGCAACTGGAATGTAACTTTTACAAGCCAGAGACTACAGACAGGTCCAATTAGGAGTTTTTCTCCTTAATTACACAGATGAAAGGAGACAGCATTATTCATGTGAATAAGGCAAAGAATTATTTCTGACAAGCAGAGAATCCTCTTCAAGTTACATGTATAATGAGCTAACCTACATAGTTTAACAAGACAGTAATAACATTAAAATAGCTACTATTGTTAATATTGCCACAATGTGATTTACAATTCTAAGTAGTTATTCAATTATGAGTTTATTCCTAACTGTATTATTATTATTATTATCCCATTTCTAACTGTACAGTTTAAAGACACATTTCTATATTCCATAATTCTGTAACTTCAATAATGACATTACTAAGGACAATACTTTTAAATGGAAAAATGGCATATAATGATATCACATTTTTTAAAATCTAGGTAGGTTTATATTTTGTAGTATTGTACATTAGGACATAAAAAAGGAAGTAATTTGGGGCATGCCCCTTTTTAAGGGCAATGAACTCTTAGATACCCATAGTAAGAGTTTAAAAATTATGTTCAATCATCTCCTAGCACAACAGCAACATATAAATTAGAGGACATAAAGGTATTATCAGCAAATTTTCTAAATGAGCCTTCTGTAAGAGGCTGAGAGACATTAAACAAACACTTCCCATATACATGTTCCAGTGAGTTCTTTACTTAGGTATACTTTTTATTTCTAGAATATGGGACAGCTGAATCCTCTTCAAATACTACAGTACTCACACACTACTATATAAACCCGAGGCACACATTCCCTACACCTGTGAATAGGCACAGTGATGTGTGTGAAAACAGAACTCATACAAGTAAGGCATTTCCAGCTCACCTGTAAATCTGCAATGGCCACGCTGCCTGTGATGGAGTGGGCATAGAATTCGTTGGACTCACCAACATGGCACTATATATATTGGAAGCAACCACAAGTATACAAAGGAGAATTGGTCCTATGATGGCCCCTTCCAGTCCCAGGTAATATGCTCCACCAGCTACTGCAAGGCCTGTCAGGTAAGGGTGACCCCCTCTGCCACAAGAACGACATTAAATTAAGAACAACAAACACAGCATTATCAATTAAGAAATGTGAATTAATACTGAAATTTCATTAAGCTTAGGAAATGACCCATCTAGGTATAGCTACCCATATTTACACTATAAACTGCTGTCTGAATGACTGCACAAAGGTTCCAAGCTGCATTCTGTGCTGTATTCGCATGACAGATCAAACACTGTTGTAGCCTGGAATGCTGGTAAGATCCACAGTGGAATAGTTACTTTACAGACATCTGCTAAACAATGTCTGAAGGGCTTAATGGCAAACACACTTCCATTTTGAGAGTGGAAAGTGGTAGGTTACACAGATTGCTCATGCTTTATGGTCAAGAACTGTTGAAGTTTATTTTAACACAATTAGCAACAGGTAATATGAGGATCCCTGAGCAAAGCCATTCAGTTAGCTGATGACAGCAACTTGAAGTGCATCTTTTAAAGAAAAGTTAGCATACACTTTTTAAATAAATAGCCATGTCTTCTCACTTCGTTATAAAAAAGCCTCTCAGATTGAGTGTTTGCTATCATTAGCTTTTCATATTTTCAGATGAAAAACAAAACCGGATTTTAATGAACATATTAGTGGAAAGTTGGGGCCATAAGAGCTTTTTGATAAGAGCTCTTATGGCAAGTAAACCATGCCATTTTTATCTTCTATATCTCAGGCTCACATTTTGCACCTGTGTTCAGCTGCGAAATGTGAATCCTACCAACAGCATCTACACAAACCCTGCTCATCATTCTTCATTCTTTATACCTAAAACAATGATGGCAATATGGTATTGTAGAAGAAAAACTACAGTTGAAACTTGGCACACAATTCCCAGGAAGTTCCTCTAAATTCTGAGTGTAATACATAGAAAATGCCAGCTAATCAATTCAGAGCTCCAGCAGCTCCTGAGGTTTCTACCATGGTCCTACTCAACTCCCAAGTTTCAAGTCTTCACCTTCAACACAACCATGTGCAAAACAAGGCCATGAAACATGACCTATTAGATCTGACACACCTCAATCATGTCTCAGCCAGATCAAACTTAACCTACTGGCAGGACCAGACTGCTCTCCTGAGGAGACAAACGTGGCCTGAAGTTTTATGTTTCTGCAACAACAGACATTATTAATTTCTAAACCTTTAAAAACTTCAATTTTTTCCCAGCATTTACATCAGTTTAGACATTCTTTTGTCTAGTTTTCTAAATTAAACAACAGATCACATAATGAAATAGGACTACAGTATAAAGGTAATCCATTTGGAAAACCCTGCATAACCTAATTACAGCTATTTCAAATAGGTTTAATCTAATCTGCAAGACATCATGATGCTCACTGTTCAATTTATTGGGAGGAACACAATTTTCCTCCACTGTCAGAAAATCTATTCCTCTCCCATATATTTTCTGGACAGTAAACAGAGTTTGTATCCTCTACAGTCCAAAAAAAAAATGTATTCTAGGAAGCAGAAGAATTATTGCCTATTTAAATAGCTACTAACCTTAAATTTATCAATGATTTATTGTTGGGAAAAAATGTAATTTGATTATATTTCACTGTTAGGTTTAATTAATGCAAAATAACTAGAGGCACAGTCTATGAAAATTAGTATTAATATTTGGCATATTATCATTAGGTACTCTCTGTTCAGTGTAATTATATTTAGCAAACAAAACTACTAATTTATAACAACACAGAAGCGAACCACTTTATTCTACATTAACTCTATTTATTTTTTTTTGTCCCTAAATAGCTCATGGTTTTTATCTGCTCTGCAGCATTATCTGGCATTAGGAGATAAGAAAATGCTACACACCTTTACTCAGTAATTAGATAAACAGAAAACAAACTAATTCTAACAACCCAACTGAAACAGTTTATTTTGCTGATGTTGAGCTCAAGACCTCTGAAGTGTCAAAGCTCATAGAAAAGTGGCCTGGGAAAATGAAGGCACTTAGGCCAGTAAAACTGCTTACTATGAGGTTATTCCTGAGCTTGAAGATACTGTTTTGCATGCTTCAGAAAAATGAGTTTAATCAAAGGCATCAGTGATTGTCAATCATTTTTACAATGCTAATTTTAAAAAGTGTTCAATGTACTTACCCTGATATATCTGAATAAATTGCTGTATCTACAAAATAGGTTGGCAAGAGGTGAAAAACCAAGAGCAGAAGGGCTTTGCATCCCTGTCCTTGCACAAGCCACAAATCTAGGACTGCAGGGACTGCTGCCCAGTATGTCCCCAGAAATGGCACTGCTCCAAGGATTGCTGCTAATGCTAGAGCACACAGAAGCAGAAGTGAAAAAAAGATCACAGAAACATATTTCACAAATATATTTACAGTTACATTCTGACACTTTTGCCACACCAGTAAGTCCCCCTTCCATCAAGTGCTATAAATAAAGCATTGAAGAAGTGCCACATGAGGCTCTTGGTGTTTTACAGCTCAGGTTTCGGAACATTTCCCATACAGAAGAGCTTCAGCAACTGACAGTCATAAGGAGTTAAGAGGCATCAGTTTAGAAAAACCTGAAGTTATACCAATCATGTACATTTCTTACTGTGTAAAAAAGCAAATGAACCCAAGTCTCACTCTAACTTACTGCGTCTCCTGCAGGCATCCATAATAGTGAGAAAGCAGGAAAACATGAGATTTATGACATATATTTCTGTATGCAAACATGTGCACACAGCTGCACACCCTTCTGCTTATAACAAAGACCTGTTGGTAATTTAAGCAATACAGATCTGCTGCCACCATAATTTAATGCACCTCTTGTATAATAAACATAATACAAAGCACAACTAAGTGTTTGGTTTTGTTTTTTTTGGTCTCATTAACCAGAAAGCAAAAACCTTTAAAATTTTGCATATAGCTGAAAAAAATAAGACTGATTACTTTCTAAGTAGGTCTCTCTCTAAGTAGGTGACAATCAATGCCTTTAAGACAGTTGCGCTTTACAATACAGCCATTTCCCATTATACTGGGGTTTGTTGCTTCATAGCTTCCCCTTATGCCTCCTTGTACACAAACATTTTGCAATTACTATTATTATCATTCTTTTTAGTGAAAAAAGGGCAAAGAAGAACAGGGGAGAAGGTTTTTCTCCGATAAGCCAGGTTTAAACAATAAAAGAAAACCAGAGGCTGGTAATACAGACAGACAATGATACTGAGAATAAGAAGCATTCCTTTATCATGCATTTCCATGATAGCACATCTTCCTGCATTTAGGCATCTTGAAAAATCAGCACCTGTCAACTGTGAAAGAAACCAAAGCCAAGACAGGTAGAATAAAGTTAAAATCCAAAAATAATTGAACTGAATACAAGAGAGAAGGAATTAGACCTAGCAAACAAAACAGAAAGAAGAGGTAAAATAGCTGGCAGGGAATGTGTTGTGAAAACAGAAAAAGGCAAGGCTCAGGGTAAGAGCAATCAAGGCCTTCTCTCCACCCTTCACACAGCCAAATTCTCCAAGATCAGACAGACCTAAGGTTGTCAGCAACACTTAATATTTCTGATTTTGTACAATAAATAATTACATAATATTAGTTATGAATATAATTGCTCAAATCCTTACCAGATGGTATGAAGACTATGTTAATCCCAAATATAGTGTGAGTCAGCCAAGTGTAGAGTCCATAGAAACCAGCCATTTTGAGGGAAGCATCAAACACACCTCTAAAACGATTGAAGAGACTCTGTTAATTTTTATTAGCAAGAGGATTCCAAGAACTACGAAGACACACACACAGGTTGCTTTGAATAACTGAAAAGTGTCACAAATAACACATCTCAAAATGTAACACTGAACCCTTTGTACATCTGTTCCCCCTGAGAAGAATAAATATTCACCATGTACGTAATTAAAAGCATTTAGACACAAAAAAATGAGTTCTAGGGATAGATGCCCTGAAAGAAACTGCTCAAGTATCAGACTATATTCTCTATCAAAAATAATCTGTTTTCTATGAGAAGCAGTACCATTCTACATACAAAGTACTTTTTCTTTCCTCTTTTCCACTTCTAGGTGTTCATTCATTTTCTTTATCTGCTTACATTCTGCACCTGCCCTTTTTCATTGGATCCCCCCAGCTTTTAGGTTGCTTATTAGGCTACATTATTAAAAACCAAATGGTAAATCTGGGAACCTAATTAAATCCTGCTGAAACAGGACTATATCCAAAGCTGTCCTCTTTTAAGCGTGACCACAGCTTCATGAGACAGCGAACAGGAGCTAAGTGCTGTGACATTTTTACAGCGTTAGGGCAGGTACCCATGTGGAATATCCCATAACTGAACTGGAAACCCATGCCTTAGATCTATAGTCACAAAGCCCATAATCTCAAACTACTAATAAATTTCATTATTGTATTATGTCAGTTTCTCACCCATATTTGGTGAAAGCCAAGTTTCCTAAAATCACTATTTCAGCTTGAATGCAAGAAAACAAGTCCCACAGCTCAGAACAGTCCTAACAGTTCCATCACTGCACAAGTGGCGGCCCATGCACCCTCTTAGCAAAGATCAATGTCTCCTGATGTTAATTTTCCACTCATGTTAATTCCCATAACTCACAGTGATTGTGTCTTGGCAGTTTGGGAACTCTGGCAGCAGGGCAAAGAGGACAGGAAGCCATACAACAGCAGTCTTTGAAGGGCATAGAAAAACTGCTCTTTCTGGATCTAAAGTCTGTAACAGCACAGTTTCCTTCTTCCATTGAGTCCATAAAGCCATGTAGCAAAGAAAACTGTGATTTTGTGATATTAAATTACTAGGCAGAATCTTTTCTGAGCTACCAAGAAGTAGTCCAAAACTCCCAGTTTTTGCTTCTTTGGCCACTATCCTCATTTTTATTTCTGTAGGCAGTGTGCATATTTTTGCCATTGTTTCCTACCTAAGGGCTCACTTTTAGATTTCTACATGACTTCAGAATCAAAATTATCTTATTTAAAATTCATTCACTGGAAGCTATGAGTGCATAATAAACCTCACACATCAACACTACTGTTCAAAATGTGAGATTCTCTTAACAGACTAACCAGAAACAACTGTTGTCAGCCATTTTCCCCTCCAAAAGAGGGAAAGGAAAAATAAAGAAAAAAAGCAAGCTTTAAAGAATGACCTGAAATAACAAGTCTAATCTTTGACAGGATATAATTACATGGTGCTAAAAGAAAGGCAGAGAACATTTACAAATATGTGGTGGCATCAGTAAAAAAAAGTGTCAATACTTCCTCATTTAGATGAACTTTTAGAATATTAAAATGGAAGATCAGACCAAAATATATAAAATCTACAAATTTTGAAGAATGACATACTCACTTGTATTTGAGTTGAAAGAAAAGAAGTTTCAGTCTTTAAAAAATTTGGCAAGGAGGCAAGAAAATCCCAAGACCCAAGGCCACAGTAACAATGTTAAATGTGGATTTGCATTAAAAATTCAAGATACTTTCATACTTTAGCTACTCAAAAGTCCTAATTTTCTGCATTTTTGTGACATCTAACTCATGTCTACTCTTTCTGAGTATATCCTTCTAAGAAGAACCTGTGCAGTAATCTTCAAGCAAATCTTTTTCTTATCCAACAGGAACTGTGGCACAAACACACCACAGTTGTCAAAAATTTTTATAACAGTCCTTGAGTATCTCCTTATTTTTTCCAAAAAAGTTTTCTGTACTGTAGTAAAATTAACAAGGTCTTGACGTTTTCTATATGTACGCACCAAAACTACATTTCAGTATACAAGAGATGAGACAAGCCTCTAGCTTGAGAAAAGTATGTGAAGTATCAACTTCAGCTGAAATTAAAAAAACCACCTACAAGCAGTCATTTTAGATTTTCCCAGAGAGATTACAGAAGGAGGGAAGACAGTGCTATTATGGTAACCAAAAGAGAGACAGCAACCCAGGGGAAAAAAACATTGAAGGTGTCTAGAAAACGAGTTACTTTCTTAGTCTCAGCTCAAGGACTTGGCAGAGAGATGCACTGGTAGAACAACAGGAAAACTAATCTGGGACTAACAAGTAGTCCTGGCCTGATGTCATTCTGCAAGTTGACACATAACATGTTTCTAAGGCCAAACAGTGCATATCTCTGACAGAGTACAGAACAGTGCAGCATCTCACTGGCTCTGTGCTTCTAATGCACACCTAACACACTGAGAGGAGAAGCCACCTCACAGTGCTGGGAAGTTGGGAAGTGCCAGGGGTCAAGCATGAGGAGAAAGGAGGCTGCACCTAGTCTCATTCTCCTCCTCTCCCTTCCCCTGGTTTGTGTCTGCCTCAACCGAAGTCATAAAATGCAGCAAAGGCACAAGGGATGCTACTTTGTGGCAGATGTGGACCATGAGAACCTTAATCTGTCTGATAACTCGTATTTGTTACTTTCTGGTAACTGTCACAAAAACTAAAAATTGTATCCTAAAGTCTGGAAATTCATATCTATTTTGCTTCATGGTTAAGGCTGCAAAAAAGAAAATTCTGAAAACACTAACTAAAATCTTATCAGCAGTTTGCTTCAGCTACTCTGCACCTGAGATACCAGACCTTAAAGATAATGTGGGTGTGCCAGCGCCACATGAATTTATTACCATCTGTAAAATGCAGACCTTCCTGGTGTAATTATGACAGTAAGTAACTTTCATCTCTTAATACACTACTGGCACATATACAGCTTCTTTTTATATACAAGAGTAATTGAATGATTCAGAAATCAAAAAATCCAATTGCTGCTCACGTCTCACTTTGGCACTGTATCTGGATGAACCACTTTACCTGCAAGAGCTGTCATCTGCAAATGTGTAATTTATGAGCACTTCATGCCAATTTGGCACAAGGCATACTCAGACATACATATTCCATTCTAGTGAGCTTTGAAAAGCATGCAAAATTAAAATAAATAAAAATCAGAGGACATGGGTCATGCTACGTATTATTCAGATTAAAAATGGAGAAAGTTCTGTAAAATGCTTCTGCACAGCTGGCTTACTTTTTTTATTTTTGGGTAAAAGTTCCTTCTGCTAAGTTCTGTCCCAAAAGTAGTGAATTTGCTTGTAGACTCCACAAGGGAAAGGGCCACCTTTTCAGGGCTTCATGGATTTTTTCTTCTTTTTTACAGACTGGCCATAAAAGTCTAGAGCATCCCTTTTATAACTACTGTAGTTTATATCAAATGCATGTCCACCTGAATTCAGGTGCATTTCACAGAGCCTGCAGGTAAAGTCTGCTCATTGTTACTGAAACAATGAGATTTCAAACATTTCAACCTAATGCTGCAGCAACCCCAGCTGAAAAGAGCCCTTCAGCTCAGATCATGGATTTTTTGACCTTGGAGTTAATCTGATTTTCTAGATCTCTCTGCTCCCAGAACACTGGAGGAAAGAAGAGCATATGGGCTGAAATAATGAGAATTTGAGTTACCAGAAAGATTAGAGTAAGCATATCATAAGCTCAGAAGAGGGATTTTCTGGTTATTATACTAAATTTATAGGAACAGGCATATGAAGCCTGGCTTGTGAATGGGCATGAGAGTAAAAACTAGGAAAAAAAACCCTGGTATTCATCTTTGGAAAAGTTTGGAAGAAATAGTGTTTCTCTAAATTCCTTACAAAATCCTTTACAATCCATACAACAGTTTATAATCCAATTAAAATGCAAGCTTGGTAATGGGAACACCCTCAGCTAAAGACACTGTTAGAATAAGAAAATTTCACTCTTGTCTTCTTCCTCACACCACTGATGTTTGGTATTTTCCCATATTCTCTCAGTAGACACTAAAAGGATTGTGCTACATCTTTGTTGCAAAACTTTCTGTACAGAGAACTGACTAATTCAAAATGATGCTTTAAGAGACCTCAGCTCTTCAGTTTCTCTTGGGAATACGACCATCACATTTTAAAAGAGAGTTCAGAGTGTAAGAGAAATGCATTCAAAACTTCACAGCACGGTTTCACAATTTATCTTCAGAACAGGTTAGCTCAGAATTGTCCCAGGAAAGGAGCCCTTCCATTCCCCTGTTCCAAAGATTCACTTCTGTCCTAGATGAACCTTCCTCTACCTGCCAGGAGAGTCTTCATTATGTGCCATGACACTTTCTACAATAAAATCAGCTTTTTCATTTTTACAGTGAATTCATGACAATGGTTACATGATGGGTCAGTTTTAACAAAATAGCTCAGGTCCCCACTCCCCAGCCAGCTCATAAGCAGTGACCCAAATAGCTGCATTCCCACCAGGAAAGAACAGTGCACTCATGGCTGGAGAGCAAGAACATATCACTGCTGTCTTACCCCAGCTGAAGTTAACACTCACTGTCACCACAACTTCAAAACCAAAGAACTCTCTGTGGTGTGCAAAGAACTTTCTTTCTTCACACACCACCAAGAGCTGTTGCAAAAGACAAGTTGCCAGTGACAGCTATTGTCTTTGAAAAGACCAAAGTATTCTTCTTCTACAATGATCCCCCAAATTTCAAGTGATCACCAGGTGAACACTGAAGAATGAAATTACTTCAAGAAGTCCTTTTGAAAAAAACCTATTAAGCTGTTCTTTGATTCTCTTTAAGGGTTCTGTTCTTTTAGGGATAAAAAGTGACTCTCTTTATATTTCAGTTTCAAATTTAACATGAAAGTAAGCTAAGTGCACTAAGACAAGACTCCAGCTACGAATAAAGCTGAAGTG